CATGACAAAAAGAATAATCATATTGGCAAACATAAGCTTTATGATTATCCTGGGTGCCTCCAGTACATTCTGGGATTTTTTTATATTTTTTTTTATGTTAGACTCATAACTGAAACAAATCACATGAATCAAAACATCCAGAGGGGAAACAAACCTTCATCATCCAGTGAGTCAAACCCTCACCTCACCTCCCAATGGGTCTCTATTTCCCAGTCCTACCATTGCTCCCTTTTCAAGGTGTCCTCTCAAGGCAACAGAGGTTTTCAAGAAGCACACACACTGATGATCCTTCTGTTCCACTCCTGCCAACACCAAGGGTCAAAGCAACCCATCCTTCAGTACAGAGAAGGAGCACGGTTTCTGCACTGCCATCCCAGTTCCCACCAGCATCACTGGCCACAAATCACAAACAGGCAAAACCTTCTGCCCTTTGGGGATGTGTCCCCCTCTCCCCCTCCCACCACACCTGGAATGGAGAGGAGACAAATTCATAACTTGTTCAAAGATGGTGTGGAAGTTTGCTTGGGAGACTGTCAGGTAAGAGAAACAAGCAAAACTACACATCATTTGTTGCACCCCCACTCATGTCAACCTCAAGTGCCCTGGAATAGATGGAGAAACAAAACAGCCAAGACCTCTAAGTATAATATACTGGCACATATAAGAAACTTCAACTATACTCCTTTTTTTTTAAGTAGCAAAAAAACACAACGGAAACATAATGGGGGTGGAGGGGGAAGGATGTTCTTGGAATTATAGTTTAAAATACGGCCAAAAAAAGAGCATAAAATTCTATTCTGTGTCCAAATATTCCCTATCATCTTAGTCAAAATAAGTTTTGGATTGATTTTTGCACTGCCACTAAGGCCATAATGGCATCCTGAATGGTTCAAATACAGCAAAAAGCAGAGAGGTAACAGATAACAGTATGCTTGCCAGTAAAAGGAGGGTATGGTCTCTGTGTGCACACATGTATGTATACATATGAATCAGAACTGAAAAGAATTTATTGATTTGGTTAAGCTGTGCTAATGTATTGGTACTGCTCATTTGCTCAGAGTCCCCCTAGTTCACCTGAATTAGGGGAAGAGGCTGAGGTTACACTGAGGTTAGCTGACACGTGTCAGCCAAGCCTGACCTAATCCTGGCTTTCTAACTAGTTTGATCTTCTTCTCTAAATAATATTAAGAAGAGGAAGGAACCACAGGGATGTAGCTGGGTTCCAAATCACTATTTTTAGAAGCTGTACACAAGCAGACACAGCAGAGTCGTGCATGCCGCCTCCTCCACAGAAAACTCCATCCTGTGATCCCCCAGTTCCCCAACTGAGCACCTCCCACCAAAAGTTCTGTTGCAAAGACATGGAGATCCCCAAAGACTGAAACAGGAAAAACCAATTTTCCTTACTCTGTATGAATTCAAGTGTTTTCTAACACCATCCCTCCTGCCAGTGCAAGAGGACCTCCATAATACCAAGCAGGCGACTTTGAGCTACTTGGACCTGCCATCCAAGCTCCCTCGTTAAAACAACATACATGGATTTACTCCAATGATCTGCACTGGATCCAAGACCTGGGGAAGCTTCTCATTCATCTCAAAGCATTTCTCAGATCTGGCATAAAAGTAAGGGTTTGATGAGCAATAAAGAAACTACAATAATATGGCTTAAACCACAGAGGTGCCAGCTTTTACTGCCTTTCATTGAGCACACAGTATTTTTCTCCCCCGTTCCAAGGGAAATAACACTCCGTGCAACTGTTCTAGGATGTAAAACGTGCACTGTGCTGTTCAGATGGAGCTCATAATTGAAACATTTAAGCGTCAATGAAATCCCAAATGTAAAGTTTTTCATTTTCGTTCAGCCATGAAGTTAAAATTCTGGGGGGGAGGAGTGGAAACTACTATCTCAGAGTGCTTTTAAGGTCTATTTTTTCTGATACAGTAATCAGAAAGATAAGCTCAGTCAATATGCCAGCAGTCGCTGCCATACTCCAGCGGCTCGCTGCCGATGGCATCACCTGCCTTGACATTGCTATCCCTGCCCTGTCCCACACATGAAGTTATCAAGGGGCTTATCAAGGATGCATGGTCTGCTGCCTGCAACACAGGAAGGAGTGCAACTACCTTCATCCACAGGCTTTTGAGCCTGCAAGAGCAATGAGCAGGCTCCTGTTGGAGAGTGGGGCTCCAATTGAGGCAGCTGTGCAAACTCAGGCCAAACACTCCCAAAAGGAGTCCAGCAGGCTCAAGGGCCCATACAAAGAACCAGCTCAAACATCTTTGTCTGAAGGCACATGGCCATCATTTATAGGAAGGAGAAGGTTATCTTGCAATACTGCTCTTATTCAGAGGCTTTCAAGATGACCAAGTATGATATCAGGCTATAAAACCTCAGCTGAAACCACTAAGCACTCGGCACAACTTATAGGGAAGCCCTGAAAGGCTGGTTTGTGTCTTGCAGATCCTCAGACCACCTTCCCCAACACTGGTGTTCATAAACTCTGTTAGAGCCATCTTGGACTGCATCACACACAAACTCATGCTCTTTACACACCTGCATCCCATGACCTTCAGGGGCTGCCTGTTTCACAGTCTGGATGAACTTAAGGGTGTTGAATTTCGCCTTGAAATTTTTCAAAGGTTTGACATTTGCCTCCCAGAGAGAGGCACCTCTCCCCACAAAACTTGTCTGCAGATAAGGTACTGCTAGAGTCTGCTTCTGCATGCTTTCCATCCCCAGCCCTCACTCAAATCACACGGGCCATGGTACCTCCAGAAAGGAGCCCAGCACTGCTTCTTGTCCACACCTGCTGGACCAAATCCACTGATTCCAGCGTTTGTGTGGTCAGGTGCAACCCAGCTGCGAAATGACACTCCAACTTACAGAACCTCAAGAGTGCAAGACCTGTCTCTTCTCCTGGAGAGGTGCAAAGAGATGTGAGAAGTCTGCTACCGGCTCAGTTGTGCTACCATGGTGTTTCAAGTACTGAGGATGGAGGCAGGATGAACGTGTGGTTAGGCCACTAAACAGAGATGCAGCTTCCAGCAATCCAAGCCTTCTGCTACAGATGGCCCCAACAGTTTCAAAGCCGGTCAAATAATCTCTCACACCAGACTTCCCCACCTGTTTTAAGTGCCTGAAAAGGAAACATTTGCAACCAAACATGGAGCACTCAAGACATGAAAATGGTGAGGACTATATAAACAGATACATACCTCACTGGTGAAGAGACAGACTGTGTTTAATGGTTTATAATGCCTGGTTCAGTTACCTTGAAAGTACTTAAGAGAAGGCAACACAACCTTGGATTAAAACTAAATAAACATTTACAGCAGTAAAAAATGGCTGTTACTGTAGGGAGGCCTGGCTCTTGCACCTGTAATTCTAAATATATTTAACAGGATGCCAAACTATGTATTATAAGAGGCTAAAAAGCAAAACAACATTATAGATATTTGCATAGAAAGCAGGTAGGCATAGTGAGAGAGGCAAAACAAAATGGATAACTTGCTAGGGTCTGATTCAAACATCTTAGAAAAATGCTATTTTCTCTACTGAGGACTGAGCTACTAAGGAGATTTGTGGCAGCTGAAACTACAAAAAAAATTGAGATGAAAACGCTCTTTTGTGTCCCTAGAAGGGAGATAAATGAGGGTCAGAATGAAGTTCATTTAAATCCACTGAGCTGATACAGAGGGAGTTAGAGAGAGCCGCAAAACAAAATGAAAGGCTCAGTAGGAGCCTGCACAGCCAGTGCTGCAATGTCAGAAACACAGCACAGTGCCATCTGAAACCTACAGGCACCGTAGCAGGGCTCAAGGAAAAAAACAACGGTGGCACTCCTGGGGAAGCCATGCCTGCCTGCACCAGTGCTGGAATAACACACCGGGGTCCTGCCACACAAGCCCCCGAGGTCAGATGCATTTTGAGGGGTGGTTCAGCAAAGCCTCCGGGGAGGACATCCACTGCTGGAGTGAAACCACCAGAGGAACAGAACTAAGCAGCATCTATTTACAGCAGAGAGGAATATCTGCTCCTTTCCTTCGCTCCCACTCGGCATTCTCCTTTGGGTCTCTTATGGGATAGAAGGTGCCTTAAGACAATAGATAATTAGCTGTAATGCATCCTCTGTGGCTTTAACAACTTAACAAGGCTTATCTAGAGACGTGATCTAGGCTTCCAGTTACCCTTGTTCTCCCAGTTCCCTTCCTCTTCCACACCCCCCTCCCCAAATATTTGCATCTCAGCGTGACAGGTATTTTGACTTTAAGCTTAATAAAAGTGTTTGCATGTGTCTGTGCACGCTTAAGAGAAGCTATGAAAAAAACCACCCTATTGTAACTCTGCCTCCCTGAAACACGTCTCGTTCCATTTTCACTTCCCTGACAAACAGAGGGAGCTGAAATAAGGAACATGAACTTTGGAATGCCACTCTACCGAAAGACAACTTATTAAAAACATTAGAATCATCGTTTAAAAAACGAAGGGAAAAAATGCTCAGGAAGTCGATGCATCTCGGTGCTGCATTTGTGTCAAGCTCTGAGTAAACATGCAGCAACATGAATGAAATCTGTCCAGAAAGACTGCATTTCAGCGCCAACCACGCAATCGCTGGCCAAACCACTGCATATGTAACAAAAGTTTGATCTCGGCTGCAAGCGCTCGGCTGCGCTTCTGCCATTTCCTGTGGAAAACTGAAGCTCTGAACCACTGTCTCTCAGCCAGCCCTCGCCGACACCCAGCCAGCTGCCCCTGAATTCACGCCCATCACGCCGCGGCAGACCCGTGCGGGGGATGCTCGGCAGCTCCCCTCCAGCCCTCCCCGGGCCGGGCACCGCCGTGCAGGGGCAGCCGCGCCGCCGCTCCCTCCCCAGCCCCCGGCCCCGGCGGCAGGTGCGGCGGCGGCGGCGGCCCGCCCAGCGCCCGGGGGGGCGGACGGGGCCCGCCCGCCGCAACAGGTGGTCGGTGGCGCCCGGTCCCGCCCGGCGGCCGCACTTACCGCTGGCGTTCTTTCCGCAGATGAGGTGCTGGTAGGGCTGCAGCAAGCCCCAGAGCTCGGGGTCGTTGTTGACCGTCTGCTCCAGCGCCTCCAGGGTGAAGCGGGGCGCCTCGGCGCCCTCCTTCTCCTTCTCGGCCGGGGCGGCGGCGGCGGCCGGGGGGCGGCCGGGCGGCGGGAGCGGGGCGGCGGGACCGGCCAGCACCCGCGCGTGGATGTCGCGGAAGAGGCTCTCGGTGCCGGCGGTGAGGTAGATGGCGGCGTGCTCGTGGATGCGCAGGGCCACGCGGCTGTCCACCATCCAGCGGTAGAACTTGCCCACGGAGAAGGCCAGTCCGCACCGGGCCGACTTGCCGCGGCTGAAGCGGTCGCCGCCGCTGCTGCTCATGTTGTAGAGGGAGAGGGCGCCGAGGGCAGCTGCCGTGCAGCGGGCCGCCAGCGTCCAGCCCAGGACGATCTCCATGGCGCTCCGCACCTCGTGCTTGGTGCACTTGGCGAAGCGGAGGCTCAGTCGCTGTGCCTCCCGAGCGATGCGCACCAGCGCCCGGCTCACCAGTGTCGAGAGCCGCGCCGCCGCATCCCGGCTCCCGGGGCTGGCGGCGCCCGGCGCCCGCGGCTCCCGGCGCGGCGCCGGCGGCAGCAGCAGTGCCTCCACCTCCTCCAGGCTCCAGGGGACCTCCTCAAGGTCGGGCAGGAGCCGGGAGCACTGCTGCCCCGCGCAGTCCAGCACCTCGGAGTCTTCCGCTAGGACGGTGTTGACGGTGTCGAAGCTGTTATGCCGACTGTGCATGGAGTCAGTTAGGTGCGGCCAGCAGCTTCCTCCATAGGGGTACGCGGGGTGCGAATCCGAGCAGCACAGCGACAAGTTGGAGGAGCGCACAGAGTCCGCCGCACCACCATACCCGGAGTCCAGCGTCAGGTCTTCCAGCGTCCTCACCGCCGTCTTACCTCTCCGGGCCATCGCCGCACTTCATGCTGCACCCGACGGACCCGGGCGGGGAGCGGCTCACGGGAACGCGGGGGAAGAGAGCAGCGAGCGGGCGCGGCGCGAGCCGCCAGCCGATCCGATTCGCTTCGCTTCGCTTCGCCCCGCTCCGCCAGACGGCAGCGAAGCGGCGGTGCCGCCTGCGCCCTGCTCCTGCTGCTGCCGCCGGCCGAGCCCCGCTGCCGGCCCCGCTCCGGCTCCTGCACTGCGCCGCGCCGCCGGCCCGACACCGCACCGCAGCGCAGCACCGGCCAGCGGGCGCGGGGGGCGGGGCCATGCAAAGCGCCGCCGGCTCGCAGCCAATGGGGCGGCCAGAGGGCGGAGACATGCAAAGCAGCGCGCCCGGAGGCCAATGGGACGGCGCCCTGCGGCGGCCGCGCCTCCCTTGGCCCCACGGGGCCGCTCCGCGCGGCGCGGGCCGGGAGGGGGCGCGGGCCGTGCGGAGCCGCCGTGTGCCGGGCCCGCCGGGGCTGCCCGCTCCGCCAGCTCCGGGCACGGCAGCTCCTCCAGCGCTGGGACTGCGCCCTGCAAAGCACAGATATATGTTAATGTTAATGCGGGTCTGGGCCCGCCGGCAGCCGGGGGAGTGCGGCCATCCGTGTCGTCTGTCCCCGCGGCTGGCAACAGCACGGCTCTGCTGCGTGCACCTACGCCGTTCCCCAGGCGTACGAACTAGAGCCCCGCTCCTGCCCGCACTGGGTTTTCACACCAGCGGTTCCCTGATGTTGCTATAAACAAATGACAGCGAGCGCAAGCACTCACACATCTCATCAGACAGACAAGATGTTTTGAAATCAAGCAGAAACTGCCACGTAAGAATTCCAGCCATCGCTCGAGTCAGGAAGAGCAATTTCCAAATAATTAAAACAAGTACAATAAAACCCTTTGACATTCTTGACGTTAACCCATTAAGTATCGTGAAGGCTTTGACAAGCAAGAATTATACTGGGCTTAGGGCACATTTTCTATGCAGTTAGATGGTTTTTGTGCAAGACAGTTTATCCTCGACTAATGTATTTTAATCTCACATTGTAGGCTTTAGCTTTATTAGGAGTTGCCTGACTAATGTCCCAGGCAACAGACTGAGAATGTATATGTTTTTGTGCTCTGGTTTTGAAGAAATCTTTCATCCTTTTAAGCGTAAAATACTAGCAAATTTCTATCCCTTTAAGGATAAAAGCCTAGCAAACGCATTTCTCTATCATGCCAACAGAGGCAGCCAAAATTCTTGGACAGGCAAGGCAAGTCATGTAAGAGATTTCCCCATCCAAGCAAGCCTGGCACTCCTTCAACATCAGCTTCCTAGAGGAAAGGCAGGAGCACAGCTACAGGTAGGCTCATTTGTCAGTCAGGCTGGGGAGAACTATAACACCACCAAAAACAGCAAGAGGGGGTTGCTTTCCAAATGAAGTCAAGTGCTGGCAAAAACTGCTTTCTCAGCATACTCTTGGCCCTTCCACAAGATGCAGTATGCACAATGGGTTTCCACAGATTTCCCAAATACCACCATATCCTGATGAAAGGTAGAAGAGCTGAGAAGAGGAGCAATCAGAACTTTAGCCACTGTCACAGGTGAAGTAAGATGCCGAGGCCCGTGCTGCTGGTAACAGCCTGTCTCGGGGCTGGCTCACCAAAAATGAGAGCATGCCTCGAGAACAACATCCTGTGGACTTTGCAGCAATTCAGCAGTACGTCTGGCAGTAGAGCCCTCTGGTGTCTTCACCACCTCAGTGCAGTGGTTGCTCAAAATTCCCCTTTTCATTTGGTAGGAGAAGGAAGGCACCACCAGGACTAAACCCCTCAGGACAGTTATTTTTCTTACTCCATTCACCTGACTCTGTCCTTATGCTCTCACAGAATGCCACAACTGTGCATGCTGAGCATGTGAGAGCAGGTCAAACTCAGGGAAGGTTCAAGATGGGGAGGTTTTCTAGTAATTGGTTTGTAGGGCTTCATAGAGACACAAGGTAGGCATCCAGGGAGGCTGGAACAAGAGGAGTGGGTGTTTTGTTCACCGGCCTTTGTGAAAAACGCTGCTGCAGAGGTCAACATTCCCCTTGGGCACTGCATAACTTTTAGGCTACAACATCGCATTGACATGAATAGGATAAATGAGGAGTGGACAGTTGTCTTGGGCACCATGCAGACTCAGGCATTTCTATTGTTGACTCAGAAACAGTTTGGACTTCTAAAGAGATTGGGGCTTTATTTTTTAATTCAGAAAGCAAAATATTAGGTCTTACTAGAGATTTTGTAGCTGCAACCTTGCTCATGGCAGTTTGATTCCCAGTCACACTGCTATCTCGAAAGATGCTGCAATACTGAACACACCAAAGGCATGTCAGCAGCACTAGACTGGTTTAAACTTTCAAAAGTGGTAGTAAGAACTTTTGACTCATTTGTTCAGAAGACTAATTACCTTTCCATTGAAAGGGCTGAAGTTCAAATAAGTTCAGTGTCACCAGGCTGGATCTCTGGTGATCTTTTGATACCCAAAGAATTTTGCTTGCTCAGGTGTGGATGTGCTGGCTGCTGCATCCTGAAGTGAGATTCAGCATTATTTGGGAAGCGCTCCTCAGACGGGATTCTTTAAACCGCCCTCAGAAAAGACAGGATCAAACAGTTTGGAGCAAAACACACTCCTGCAACATGGATTGCATGGGATGAGCTCTGGAGACAGTGCTTAGCTTTAATCCAGAAAGGGCACCACACCTCTCCTAGCCTGGGAGGAAAGGCAGGTGTCTGCAGCTGCACTCCATTCTGCAAGCCTTACAGCCAGGGTCATTTGCCTATGAGACAAGAACACCCACTGCAGAAAACAAAGTCCCTTTATTTCTCAAAGGCTGGGTGGAAACAATTTTCAGCTTGTTGGAGACAGGAACATCAATTATCCTCGCAGACAATTCAGACAGGGACTGATTAAGTAACATACCAGGATGACAAGTGCCAGCTAAAACTCTGAAAGAGGGAAATTGAACCACATTTTTAAAAGGTGCTTAGGGCAAATTTAAGTAAATGGGAAGTTGGCATTTTTATGGGGAGAGCACCAAGTGCTGCAATTCTTTCCTTCCCCACCCAGTCAACTGCCTGCAAAAGGCATCTTTTTGACAGCAGTAGGGAAAAACATGACAGCAAACAGGCTGCCAGAAGAGTAGGAATTCACCTAGGATGAGGCCACTCCATGTAATTTCTGTATTCAAAATTCAATGTGCTGCACTGCAGTAATAGCTCAAATGAAAAGCAGAATTTGCAGGATCTCCCAGTGTTATCTCCAGCTGCTAGGAACAAGCAGTAAACCTTAAGAGATCCTTGTTTATATTGCTGGGGAAGTCGGAGTGCTAGTGTTTCTAATCACAGAAACAGGAGTTCATTTACAAAGCAAGGCTGTAATCCTGTAGCACTAAGGCAGGTGTGAAATGCACATCCCTGGCAGAGGAGCCTTTAGGGCTGCAGCATGTGTACAGGGCTGCAAAGAATACATCCTCAAAGGAGCCTAGCGCTGGCATCAGGTATCACGGTCCCTGCAGGACCACTGGGAGACTGCTGCCAGCTGTTTCGACAGGCAGGCTTGGGGAGATGACTCCAGTGTTGCTCCTCAAACACATGCAACTCCAAAAGCAGTGGGAATGAGTGATGCAATGAGGCCACCGGCTTGCCAGCTGGAAGGGAGGCACTGGTGGTGTCTCCAGCATGAGTGGGAGGGAAGAACACGTGGCAGGCGGATGCCATACCACCCATTTTTTCCCGATCAGCTCCATCCTGCTGATTTCAGCAACAAGCTGAATTAAGACCCCTGGCTAGGATTCAGCAGAAACCATTGCCCCACGGAGAAGCAAGATTCAGCTGATCAGCTCTCCCTCTTGCAGACACTAAGGAACAGGGCTGCCCCTATAGTTCAGTTGGCTATTGCTTAGCCAGGGGCAGCCACCCGCCCGTATTCCTCTGCTGTTCAAAAACAGCCAACTTCCCACTGAGCTCACAACCCTTCCTGACTTTCTTCCTGCAGCCCCTGTGCCCCCATGTGCTGAGAATGGAGTTTTGTAACAGATGTGTAGACTTGTGCCTGACATGGAAGGGAGAGATTACTTGGGATTTCTCAAAATACACAAGCCAAGGAAGCTCTGGGAAACTGCCAGCCTCAACCAAATCCAACCTCCTATAACAAAGCTGTGGAGCCCAAGGCCATGGTACAGTTTGGAAGCAAAGAGCACAAATTATTTCAGAAAGAGATGTGACAAATTCCTGGAGGCTAAAGACACTGGTAACAATTAAACACAATACTGCATGTGCAATCTTCATCTCAGAAAGTTTCTCAACAGCTGTTTGCCAGAAATGGGGAGGTTATGCCAGGGGACAGAGGACTCTGTAATTGCTCTGTTACTCAATGGGTCTGTCGTTGATGGCTGTGCAAGATGAGATACTTCACTACAGAGACAGGGCCAGAGCCCCCAAGGCAGTTGTTTGGTTTAAACACTTACTTCCACACAAGCCAAGGGTGTTACCACCAGTTCACAAGCGCACCTTGGTTCTGCACAGCCAACACAGAAGTATTTGCTGTCTTTACAAGATACTGGATATTGTCCTTTGTTCTAAGACAGGATCAACTGCAATCTCTACATGAATCCTGACAGGTTTTAAAACTATTCTTCAAACCGTCCATGACAAAGTCTCTAGAACTTCCCTGGATGCTCTGTTTCCAAGTCCAAATAGTCTTTCTGCCTGAAACAGCCTTCCCAACACTGACCTAACCTTTACCTTGCTACAAATGGAAAAAATGAAAGGATGCTACCAAACTTTTATAGTGGTCTGGACTATCATCTCTGTCTTATTTACTCTTAGACAGTGTTAAAAGCATATAGAGCCAAGCAGAATACAAGATAGCCCCCAGCCAGCAGGTATAGTTTCTTCTCACATTGCACTACACCACTCCAAAAAGCATAACAGTGTTTGCATGCTTTATGTGCAGTAAGATTATACATACATACTATGTTCTGATCAGAACTGAAAGAAAGAGGAATAGCAGGCTTCCCAGAGGTCAGACACAAGGAAAGACTGTTCAG